AGATGAAACTGATCTCAGCTTTACTATGAAATATCAGGAACAAGGTGAGTAAAGATAAAAACAGTCTGACACGAGTACTTTAATGACTGTGTGTGACTCAAGCACTTTCATGACTGTGTGTGACACAAGTACTTCCTTGACTGTGTGTGACTCAAGCACTTTCATGACTGTGTGTGACACAAGTACTTCCTTGACTGTATGTGACACAAGTACCTTCATGACTGTGTGTGACACAAGTACTTCCTTGACTGTATGTGACACAAGTACTTTCATGACTGTGTGTGACACAAGTACTTTCATGACTGCGTGTGACACAAGTACTTTCATGACTAAGTGTCCCACAAGTACTATCATGAATGAGTGTGACACAAGTACTTTCATGACTGTGTGTGACACAAGTACTTTAATGACTGTGTGTGACACAAGTACTTTCATGAATGAGTGTGCCACAAGTACTTTCATGAATACTTAAACACTTAAAAATCTTGTAATTTCAGATGAAGCAACACCTTTGCAAATAGATGGAGCTTGGCTAAAACGCAATGTTGAGATGAACTTTGACCCAGGGAATTCTGGGATCGGGATTAGTGTGAATGATATGTGCTCTAGTATCTTTGATATTTTAAGTAGTGACAGAGGAGACACAGAGCTACAGAATGAGGTAGGCTGATATACCTTTAGAATTTCTTCATGGTGATTTATATTCAGTTTAAACCTCCTGGAAATGAATGCCATTAGGACCAGATAAAAGTATTTTTAGTTTAAAGTGTTCACATTCAAAAGTGTTAAATTTCAAAAGTGTAAACAGTTATTCCATGTGGGTCTTAGTTGGGATAACAGAATAGGTTTGGAAAAAGATTTGAGGTGATCACTTTGGAGTCATATGCATGTTTCTCTGAACCGGAGTAAAGGCATTTAGCGTGGGATGCCTGAGTTATGAATAATGGTTCAGTAGACTACAGATTTTGTTATAATCCTTCAAAGAAAACCACGATCATCAAATGTATTTGTTTTTTCATTTTCAGTTGTTTGAGTTGCTAGGTTTTGATAGATTTGAGTTCATCCAATCATTACTAGAGAACAGACAACAACTGGTGTCAGTTACTACGGATACAGCGATTTCATCCATGATGGCAACTGCAGCAGGTAAACCACTAGTACAGAATACATGTTTTAATACATGTACATGTACATACATGTAATGCAAACTTTTGTTTATTCTTTATTTTAAATCATTCATAAAACAGTAATCTATTACCAGTGACAAACCATTTGTTATTCTGATACTTGGTTTATACATATTTGGAGATTTTTAACCCATTTTGTCTGTTAAACAATAGGATTAAAACCACGGTATTCTTGATGTTCTATTAAAGGCTGTCATCTGAAGGCCATTAAAAAGTGTAGCTCCGTCTGTTCCCATACACCTATTATCTTCAACCGTTACCAGGCTTACAGTTACATACATCCACATACAGTTCATGATCGAGATATTCAAGATATATTTTTAGATTGTCCAAACATAAGAAATATTTTTGATAATTTGGTAAAATATATTTGACTTAATTACTTTAAAAACGCCAAATATTTCATTGATAAAATATCAAAAATATGAGGTGTGTGGAGCTTGGGAATAAGTATCGCATTCTTAGTTGATTATTCCCAAACATATATTTTGTTCAATTGTAGGTGAAGTTCACAAGTCAGAGTCTTCCATGAATAAGCCAACATTTGGGTGCCAAGTTACAATACAGGTATACTACATGTACATGTACATGTATATAATTTTTACTAATAGGCCATTTTATGCAATCATTTTTCCAAACAATTGTCAAAAGACTATAAAATTGTTTTGTTCTTATTTGTTTCAAATCTAAAATTTGTCATCCGTAAAGCATACCAGTATTAAACATGCCTGAAGAAAATGTTTCTGCAAGGGTGGACCTTGAAATTGACTAGGAGTTATTATTTGAAACATTTAGACCCACTTTTCCCTAGACTAACTGGTTTTCTAAAGGAGGCCTTATTTTTGAAAATCACAGTTTTGAAAGTGAAATGAAATAAGGCTTTTATGCCCATAATTGAAATAAATCCTTAAAATGTGAGTCAATGTTACATCAAAAATCCCTTTGTTTAATTATTTGTACATGTTCTTGGATGTTAATCTTTACAGTCTAAAACTGAGAAACAAGTTAGAAAGCAGTTGCAGAGGGAGGAGAAAAGAATGTCCAAGAAAGAAGGCAGACCTGATGATCAGGATTATTTCAAGGCTCTTGGATTTGACCCCCAACAGTTACGTGAAGCAAGGTAAATTCTGTGAACTTTTGAAATGTGCACTAGAGGCCCGACTAGAGGGCAGTGGGAGTAGAGTGGCTGGCGCTCCCCCCCTTTTTTCAAGAAAAATGTCAGAATGTCTAGGTTTCTTTGCAACCACCCCACTTAGCTCTTGAGATCCTATTTACATTTTCTTCACCCTGCAAATATTATTCTCATTCATTGAGTAATCAAGTGACTGATAAAGCAACACCAAAGCCGCTTTAAGTGCCCATGTTTTTACATGTAATGTGAAATAAATTCTACGAACAAGAAAAATTCCACGTATTTTTCCAGAGAGGCGCAGCTTCAAGCCGCAGTGAATGCTCCAATGTTCTCCTCAAAGGCAAGCCTGCCTGAGAGAATTCAATATCCATATGTGTTCGACTCTTTGGCTGAGGCTCGGTCTTCCTCTGCTTTTGTTGCAGGCACCAAGGTGAGTCGCCATGGTTAACATCATTAACAAGGCCATGCAATTTTTTTAAATGCTTCTTAGAAAATTTGGATGATGAATGGCAAAAAATAAAAGTTTGAGAGCAAAATTAGCTTTACTTACTGAACGTCTTGTATAACATTATTAACAAGATCACATCATTTTACCAGATCATGTCATTTTATTATCTCAGTGTATAAAATGGCATGGTAATCTTGGAAGGAATAATAAATGAAGATGCGGCCGTTTCACACTTTTAATAACAGTTTGGGTGATTAGCTTGTTGTCATAATTCTGTGCCATGTTACTGTGAGTATTCAAGAGGTTAGAGTGCCAATGAGAATTAACTGAATTCTCCTACATGAGGACTGATCATTAATTTAGCAGTTAGTTTCATATTTTTTAAATGAAACTATTTGAGAGAAAATATATACTCAAGACATGTCATGGCTTGCTCAATTAGTTGGCTACTTTGAAAACCAAAAAAGGGTTACTAGTATTTAACAAGTATAACTTTTTGGAAATAAATCTAGTTTGGCAGCCTTTTAAAAATGAGTTCAAGCAGTCGTGTCTGATAGTCAATAGATGTTCAGTGGGATTTACAAAGCCTTTGTATTGCCATTGTCTATTTTAATAGCTACTTTTTACCAATAATTTCAATTTTTCAGTTGTATCTACCTGAGGGGTTTGACAGAATTAACAATAAAGTATATGAAGAGGTCGACATCCCTGTCTTACAACAAGCTCCTCTGCCAATGGGCCACACATTTGTACCCATCTCTGCAATGGATGAGGTAAGTCACTAACGCTTCTATATGAGATATTTTACGAAAACAGCAGATTGCAAATATAAACACAACAGATACAGTGTACATATTCTAAGGAAACAAAAATGAAGATTTAATGGGCAAGGCTATACTTATGCAGAGGGACATAATTCTCACTGTTCTGCTTTATAAGGGAACAACATTTTTGACTTTGGTCAGGATTAAGGCTACATGTACAACGTCCACGTATTATGTAAAATCTGGTGCTTTAATAGAACACTACGTATGATGTGTAGGTATACATCAGGCATAATCCTGCAACTGTCTGTATAGGTATTTTGAACAAAGTGAACATCTCAAGGAATTAATTTTTAGGTACAGTTTGTAATTATTTACTGGTAGTTAAGATTGTAGACCTGTTATGAACTGAGGGGTTGTAGATATTTGGTTTATTCCAAGCAATATGTCTCCCTGAAGAATCGAAGAGATGTGTAGATTTGATTTCCCAATCAACAAGAATTTTTTCCTCAATTATTCATTTTTGCTTAATCGTCTAATCTTGTCTTAGACCTTTGAACCCTTTCTACATTTTTCAATTGTTATGTCACCACCAGAAGTCATGACATATCGTTATTGTCTCCAACATTTTTGTGAACAGTGTTCGGCATTTGACAGCTAGCTGTTGTTTGGTGCTTGGCATTTGGTGGTTGGTGTCCGGCAGTCAGTGTTAAGTATATGTAACAAATGGCCAGTGGTGATATTTTGCATGTCTTGTTTTATGTTGCCATTACATTGTGCCAAATTGTGCGAGACTATTTTCACTCGTGATATCATATACTTACTGAGGAATAAACACAATCTACATAAGAATGTTTTATGAGCTTAACTTGTGAAGTCCTTGGAAAGTTTTTTAGAGTTTGTTACAAAGATATCTAGGATTTTTTTCAATTATTTCTTTTTTTGAGAAAAGTAGGTTACCATATTAATTTATCTGCAATACTACATGTAAGTACATGTACATTAAGGTTGTTATGTCATATCATCATAATTCTGGTATTATTTTTTTAAAGTGTTAAATTGAGATACCATTTTTGCCCACCATGAGGATGCAGGTACAGTATCTCCATTTCAAATGATTTTGGACCAAACAATACAAATATTGTCTCCTTAATGGGACTCTCTTTGTCCAACAATATTCAACTGGTTAAACAAAACAGAAAAAGTGGTAAAGATGAACCCAATAAGTAAAATACTATGCTGGATGTAATGTAGAACCCAGAAAAGAGAGATAAATAGTGTAATCAGCAAGATGAAACAAATGAGCATTCATTGAACACTGTAAATTATATAGAAACATAAGAAAACTAGGTATGTTTATGTAATGTGGAGAAATGGTTGAAATATGCATGACACAACTACTTTTTAAGTACGAGTACTTTTGTATTCATTTGCCTATTAACATACCATTAAGTGGTAATTAATTCAAACTGCAGTATAAGGATGGCCTTCAGAGTTAGTTTTAAGATAATGATATTATGTTGGATTGCAGTTTTTGTTTTAACAATATATATTCACAATGGTCATCTACACAAATTTGATTCCAAAAATATTGAACATAAGTCACCAAAATTACTGGAATCCAAAAATCAAGAAGCAGCGGGATCAAAATCATTTAATTTGAAAACAATAGACGATGGTGAGTCAAGTAAAGCTTTTGATGAACCAACAGAAAGAAATGATATTGATAAGGATGACAATGTTAAAAAAGCACTTATGAGTAATGCTGAGGACATCAACTCAATTCCTAACAAAGAATATTTGATGACAGAGGATACACAGCTTCAGCGAAGGTTTCCGAAAGCTATGATCATTGGTGAGTAATTGTTCAAATAATGTTTCAGAAAATTGAATGATTCAGAGACTTTTCACTTTCAACAATAAGAAACATAAACTCAAAACCCCAAGAAACATTTTAAAAACATAAAGTCATGTCAATACGAAAAATACAATTAATTGAGATATTCTTATCTATGTATTTCATGTATATTTTATGCCCGCATGTGTCCTTTGTGTTTTCTTACAATATAAATACATTCCAAATATCATTTATTGTAGTAAAATCTCCATATTATTGTTTCCCAGGCATGGCTTAATTTGGCATAGTTTTCTTATTGTTTCATAGACATGGCTTAATGTGGCAAAGCTGTCTTATCTTATCCCAGGTATGACTTTTAAATATAGTAAAGTTTTATTGTTTCATAGGCATGGCTAAATGTGGTACCAATGCTATACAAAGGAGCTTAGAACTAAATCCACTACTCAAGTCCACCTCAGATGAAGAAGTCTGCCTTACATTTAGAAAAGAGAATTTTACATTGGATAGGTGAGTAATAACTTATATCTGAAAATAAATACAATATTGTATGTATGTTTAAAGGCATTCAGGTTATTCATAATTGCATTCCGGTTTACCAGACTCTCTCTTAATTGTTGTTTGCAATGACTCATTTAAAGAGAATGTCACTTTGAAAATGGGGCAACTTTATCGCGGTGGTAAAAGGAGGATTGCAATTAATCTCTCTCCACTCTCTAACAATCCTTGGAACATTTGATAGCAGACCTTTCCAACTTCCAGTCCTAGTGCTAAGGAATATATCCCATCTATTCTTTACTAGTCTAAACATTCAGATTGATAATAGTGTTCAGATTCTCTCGAGAAAATCATGTACAATATTTTTCCCGAGTTACGCCAGTCGGATCAGTTTAGTTGGATAAGCAGCAAATGAACCAAATGTGATGCTAAAATCCATAATTCAAGAGTATTTCGTCTGTAGATTAAACATATTCCACAACACCAAATGTACATGTATATTTTCAGCTATAGGGAAAGGCTGCCCTTGACTCTTGAACAGCAAGTGACCATCACAAAATGTCCACAGCTACTTGATAATGTTTGGAATATTAAAGCATTGCATGACCACTTCCCAGAGATGAAGCTTATCATATCTCTCTGCGATCCTGTTAAACAAGCTGTATCAAGGTACATTAATTTTATAGATGTACATTTATTCTGGTTCATTTTATCCTACACAAAAGATTTATTTTGTGTACTATCTGGATTAGCAGGCCCGTAGCCAGGATTTGCCAAGGGGGGGTTCATTTTTCAAAAATTTCCAGGGGGGGGGTTCACATTTGACAATTTTGGCCCAAATATGGCTAAAATCACTTGAGAAGTGCTCAAAATGGTGAAAAACTGCATGATTTTGAAAGAATTTTTGGCCAGGGGGGGGGGAGGGGGTTCGCCCGAACCCTGCGAACCCCCCCTGGCTACGGGCCTGATTAGTGATAATTTATTAATCCAACCTGTATCTTATGAGACTGTTGTCAAATCCTGACATTTTATTCTTTAAAACCAAAACAATCAAATAATGAAATTATCTATATTTCAGTTATGTCATGCATTATGAGATCAAACGAGAGAGAAATTTGTGGCCTAACTTGCCCCCACTGGATCTGCTTGTTTTTAAATCGGATGGAACTGTGAATGAATACAGTAAATATATTAGGATATACATAGACATGTTAAAGCCAGTGTTTACATTGTTTCCCATGGAGCAGATATTGATCATTGATGGAGAGAACTTCATCAAAGATCCCGTCATGGAGCTGAGTAGAGTTGAAGATTTTCTCCAAGTGCCAAGGATTATATCAAGGGATATGTTTTTATTTAATGCAACCAAAGGATTGTTCAATGGTTTCACTTTCCTTGATGGGCATACATATCATTTAAAGGCTGGGAAAGGTCACCCCCACCCTACATATGATCAACATTTTTATGATAAGTTACATACATTTTATGAACCTTATAACAAGAAACTGTTTGCAAAAATTGGAAGAACCTTTAACTGGAATTATAATGGCAAAAAAGTAAAAGTGTGACATTTGATGAGTTGTATATTGCATTGATGTCCCCAGGATTTTTTACCAACAGGGTGAAGTGAAATCCTAATTTTACCTTTTAGCAGGATGCACACAGATACGAGGGTAGCATCTAATGTTCAGATTTTAAACAAGGTTCATCACCCAATTGCTCTAATACTGGGGAGATCACTGCTAAGATTCTGTATATCCTATTATACTTAGCTTAGTAGAATTTGATGAGCATATGGTAATATACATGTAGATGTTTATTTAAGTTTAAATTGTCATCAGTTCAGATAAAATATTAAAAAAGTATTTTCAAACATTGTTTGACTATTTTGTTGAAATTACATTGAATAAAGTTGCTTTGTAATGGGATTACATATTATAAAAATGGTAACAGATCTAGCAGTGCAGGAAGCTCTTGTAATATTTTGTTCTTATAAAAATGATCGTCAGTGGAGATATTGAAATGTTACATGATATCAAAGATAAGGTAATATTTGCCAGTGATGCATATCAAACCTGAAAAATTCCTGTGTTCAGTGAATATCTGGAGTCATTTAATGATATATTTGTTTTGTATTTATTTGTATTCCTTGCTTTTGCATGTGATGTATAATAAAACATATAGTTTATTTCATTTTCATGGATGTATTCATTTCTATAGAATGAAATGTGTTTAAACTATTTCATGTTGGTTTAATTTGTATCAGAAGTCTTGTTTTGTTTTGGTTTGTTATGAGTTGCTCCTTTTCGCTGCCACCATGACAAAATATATGATATCGAGACACAGAGGTTGAGGTGAAACTGCCATCAATCATTTATTTTATGCACAGTATATTTACCCTCTGGATGTTGTTATACATAACTTATGTCTTTATTGTTCATGCAAAAATAAATTTCATTTTTACAACATCTTTTAAAAAGAGTTTGTTTAAATAAGTATGCTTTTTAAAAGAACTATAGGAAGGGGAATGATCTTTTTAGGGATTTTTATCATTACATGTATTTACACTGCAAAATATACACATATATTGAGAGTTATTACATCTCAAACAATTCAGAAATATGTAAGAGTAGAAGAGAATGGCTTATCAGACAATGAAGCTCCTGAGACGGCAAGGATACATGGAACGACATATAATCAATTCACCATCACCCCTGCTACCAATTATAAATACTTAAGCTCTGTTAAAACCCAGCTGCAAAGACATTTCCCCAAAGCAATGATAATAGGTAAGTTAAGTCCTTATAATGTTGTCTATTGTCAATTTGAATATAGCTAATGTGGAAAATGGTTATCGCTGTAAATTTCAGATAGTTTATAGAGGTGACATAATTAGTCATGTTTTTCTCAATATTTATACTGTGACTTTCAAATGTCATAGATGCATACAGGCATACCTTGATAAATTTTATGGGTACAAATTCATATGATTTATTCACTCTTAGAAGACATTTGTGATATTTCCATATTATATTATATCCAGGGCCCATTAATTACATCCATGGCAAAAACAGTTTCCTTTGTTTTGTTTGCAGGAATGGCTAAATGTGGCACAAATGTCTTACAAAGGAGTTTAGAACTTAATCCATTACTGAAGTCCACGACTGCAGAGGAAGTTTGTTTTTCTACAAAAATGAGTTTGTTTCATTGGTCAAGAACGTTAGTACACCATATAGGCTAGTCAAATCTGATTAATTGTGGTAATATTGTATTTTAAAACCTCCCTCTCGTAGTAAAGGTAGTAAATGACACATTTGTAACTTTCCTTTTTTTGTTATTTGTTATTGAGTTTGTTTCATTGAACCATAGTTCTTATACATGTACTTCATATTTGTGTCATCTTCAAATTATTTGCTTAATGTTAACCATTTTAATTGTGACTTTACAAGAAAGATTATTTTAATATTGGTTGATATTTACTTCCAGATTTACCGCAGAGCTGCCTTTAACACTTGAAAGTCAATTAACATTCACAAAATGTCCCCAGTTACTGAATCATCCAGATGCAATCAAATTGTTACATGATGAATTCCCGACAATGAAGCTGATAATCTCACTTTGTGACCCTGTTAAACAACTAGTGTCAAGGTAATATATGTAAATGGACAAATAAAAATTATACATGTTATGGTCATATAAACCAATCAATTTAGGTGCTGATAAGTTTGCCTAATAGGGCGTATACTTTTAGTACCCATAATTGTTGGGTATAGTGGTAATTAAAAAAACTAAAATAATTTTGTTTTGCTTAAGAATTGCACCATATTGCATGTACATAGCTATAGATCATTTAGAATGAATCAGGGTCCCCATGTGCCTCACTTGTTTCTGATAAATAATATATTTTCATGTAACAAAATGTGATATTACAGATATACAATGCACCAAGAAGAAGCAAAAGAAACGAATGTGTTACCTCCAGTATGCCAAAGTATGTTAAAGCATGATGGTACAGTGGATAGTACCTATAAATATGTTCAATGGAGCATATTTGTAGACATGTTAAATCCAGTGTTTACATTATTTCCCATGGAGCAGATATTGATCATTGATGGAGAAAACTTCATCAAAGATCCCGTCATGGAGCTAAACAGAGTTGAAGATTTTCTGCAAGTGCCAAAGATTATATCAAGAGATATGTTTTTATTTAGTGAATCTAGTGGCCTGTTCAATGGATTCACACACCTCAATGGACAAACATATCATATTCCCAAAAGAAAAGGCCGGACACATCCAGTTTGTGATGAACCTTTTTATGATAAACTTCATGAATTTTATGAACCATATAACAAGAAATTATTTGGAATAATCAATAGAAATTTCACCTGGATTTACAATGGAACAAGATGAAATACGTTTTTATTTTATGTTATATTTTAAGGTTGTATTGTATGTACGTAAATAATAAAACATTTTATGATATTATTGTTAAATTGAAATTATTAAATTGTTGTACAATATATATGTATGGAAGATCAACAATCAATAAACAGCTACTGATGTTCTCATACAAATAAATCCTTTAAATGAATCCAATTGAATGTTGGAAATAAACCTGACAGTAATGAGGGAGAAGACATTAAATATCTTGCCCTTAGGGGTCAGGACAGTTTTTTGCTGTATCTTAAAATATAATTTATAACAATTTAGATCGATGCCCTTCCTTCCACAATAATTGTAATTGAAGATCTATTGTTTTTGTCTCCCAAATTAAGGTCACTTCCTTCTGTAGATTGATGATATACTGATAATTGTATCGCCTTCCTGAAATAATCAGTATGTTATTGATATATTGACCTTGTCTCCTAGATGGTATGTCAGTGTAATTTATGTGACATGTTTATGTGATGTTTGGGACACTAAAATGAATTGCATACTGTCTTTAGAGCTTTACAGGTTTTATCCCATACTGACTAAAGTTTCGGGGTACAACAACAAGTGTATAACTTATGTACAATATAAAACAATGCTTTACAATTTTTTGCTATTCTCAATCTGGTATATACACTCAATTAACATTGATTTTGAATTTCTAAGGATTTTTTCTTTTTTCACGGTTATGTAATGGTCTGTTTTGGAAACATTAACTTATAGGTATCAGCAGTTTGCCAACCTGTAAGTGTGTGCTTTGTATTTACAGGCCATCCTTTGACACTTTTTTATGTCCCCACCACATAGTATGGGGCCATATTGTCGGCCTAGGCGCGTCCGTCCGTCTGTCTGTTTGTCTGTCTGTCTGTCTGTCCGTCCGTACGTCCGGCAGTTTTCTCCTAAACCGCTACAGATATCACCTTCAAATTTTCAGGGATAACTTATGAGTGCATGCAGATGTGGACGAAAAAAAATTAACTCGATACCTACTTCCTGTCGGCCATTTTGAAGTCAAATGCTAAAATCCTTGTCTGCAAACTTTAAGAAAAACGGCTTCACAGTTGCTTTTAAAACTTTAACATCTTGTTCACCTCACTTCATTCTAGATCTGATTAGGTTTTGGACCTGTTTGCTCAGTCATGTCAGCCATTTTGAATGTTTTAAGGAAAGTAAGCGCACGATAATACTTTGTATCATATTGAATGGTGTTTTTCAGTTAAAATACTTAAACTATTTAGTAGCCTTATAAATAATTTCAGGTGTACTTTGTTGTAAAAGCCTATGTTATTGTTAACAGTAGTTATATGTGATAATTTTGTAAAAAGAAATCAGCAAAAACTCATAATCACTTTTTTATTGTCGGCCATTTTGGATTTTTCTGTCTTAAAATCTTGTCTGTAAAGTCTTGTCTACGCGTTTTCAGGTGAACCGTATGATAGATCAATTTCAAATTTTCAGGGATGATTTTTAGTATGAAAATCTAGATCTGATTAGTTTTTGGGCATTCTGGGTAAATGTCAAGGCAGCCATTTTGGATTTTCCGTCCTAAAATCTTGTCTGTAAAGTCTTGTCTACGCGTTTTCAGGTGAACCGTTTGATAGATCAATTTCAAATTTTCAGGGATGATTCTTAGTATGAAAATCTAGATCTGATTAGTTTTTGGGCATTCTGGGTAAATGTCAAGGCAGCCATTTTGGATTTTCCGTCCTAAAATCTTGTCTGTAAAGACTTGTCTACGCATTTCCAGGTGAACCGTTTGGTAGATCAATTTCAAATTTTCAGGGATGATTCTTAGTATGAAAATCGTGATCTGATTAGTTATTGGGCATTCTGGGTAAATGTCAAGGCAGCCATTTTGGATTTTCCGTCCTAAAATCTTGTCTGTAAAGTCTTGTCCACGCATTTCCAGGTGAACCGTTTGGTAGATCAATTTGAAATTTTCAGGGATGATTCTTTATATGAAAATCTACATCTGATTAGTTTTTTTGCATTCTGCGTAAATGTCAAGGCAGCCATTTTGGATTTTCGTCTTAAAATCTTGCCCGTAAAGTATAATGTCTATACGTTTTTAGGTGAACCGTTTGGAAGATCAATTTCAAATTTTCAGGGATGATTCTTAGTATGAAAATCTAGATCTGATTAGTTTTTTGGCATTTTGGGTAAATGTCAAGGCAGCCATTTTGGATTTTCTGTTCTAAAATCTTGTCTGTAAAGTCTTGTCCACGCATTTCCACATTAACTGTTTGGTAGATCAATTTCAAATTTTCAGAGATGATTCTTAGTATGAATATCTAGATCTGATTAGTTTTTTGGCATTCTGGATAAATGTTAAAGCAGCCATTTTGGATTTTCCGTCTTAAAATCTTGCCCGTAAAGTCTTGTTTACATGTTTTCTGGTTAGCTGTGTGACGGATCAATTTCAAATTTTTAGGGGTGGTTCTTAGTATGAAAATCTAGAACTGACTAATTTTTGGGCATTCTGGGTAAATTTTAAGGTGGCCATTTTGGATTTTCCATCCTCAAATTGTGTCGGTAAAGTCTTGTCTACTCATTTTTAGGATAACCATTTGACGGGATCACCCATAGGTGGGGACATTTTGTACACATTTGTGTTCTTGTTTATCTTTATCGTGCTTACCTTACAATATGTTATTGTATGGTGAGTGTGTGAATGCCTTGAGATGTTCATTTTGGTCAAAAGCCTATTGCAGACATCATAACTGTTAGCCTAAAAGAATCATATTTTCCCAGTGTGTTCCAGATATTATTAACACATAGCTGCAGAAGTTTAGTATTTGATAACTCATAAAGTTCAAAATGCGTGGGGATTAAAATTGTTTAAGGTGTTTTTTTGTTCATATTACCTTGTCATAATTCTAAGATCTCTTCATATATGGAAATATTCAGTAAGCGAGCTCTAATATGACTATAAGTTGGATGATAGTTACATTCAATGGAAAAACAACTTGAATTATGAGATATTTTTAATTTACATACATGTAGAATCAAACTTCATTTTGTATTTCCAGATCGGTCAGATTGCCTTTAAAGGTATGAAAACACTAAACCGGATTCAGACAGTTGTGTTTGAGACTGCGTATAAGACCAATGAGAATCTTCTGATATGTGCTCCCACTGGTGCTGGAAAAACAAACATTGCTATGTTGACTATACTACATGAGATAAAGCAACATCTATCACAGGGGGTCATCAAGACAGATGAGTTTAAGGTAAAAGCTTCCATTGATGTTGGTCCTAAAATTATTAATGATCTTGCACAAGGAAAACATAAGACAAACATAAAATGACACATATTAAAGTATACTTATAATTGGAAAGAATTAAACAATCATTATCTGTGAATTATGTTGAAAATTATATTGGCTAAATGCCCTCTAATGTCAAAGAAATATTTTACAGCTCTCAAATTCAAATTCAGTAAAACGTGTCTAAATGGAACACCTTTGGTACCTCTAAAAAGTGTTCCACTTGGGATGTGTTCCACTTGGGATGTATTCCACTTATAGAGGTTCATTTAACATAAAGTCAGCTGTTCTTGTTTCACTAACAGAAGTGTTCCACTTCTAGAGGTGTTCAACTTTACAGATTTCACTTAGTATACAATTGTTGAGGTCAACCGGCAAAAATTGTATACCGAGACTGTAAACCGAGAAACTCTGTCTCTGTCAACAGTAGTTTCAAGGTTTACAGTTGAGGTATATCATTTTGACGGTTGACCGAATGGAGAGGTCGACAATTGTTTTGTTAGTCAGAAGAAACTAATAATACACATATAGACGACAATCATCAATCATATGGCTTCATTTCACAATCTTTTCTCCGAACCATGCCAGTGATACTTTTTTAAGAAAATCTGAAGACAGTGGTAGTTAAACTCTCTTGTTTTCGGCACATCACTGCAAACTCACTCGTAAAGAAATGTTAATTTTACATTTCTATTTGTATTTTTGCTATACTTGTCGTCTAGTAAAGTCAAAATATCACTTTCATCAACCACGGACTACCTTCTTCAGGTCCGTGCATCAATGTTTACAAAATGTCCGTCTACCATGTTTTTCTGTAAACATTATGATGTCATATTTCCCATAATTCACAAGTGTAGTACAGTAACATACACGGTCAATAATATGATATCCCATAATGCACGGGTGGGGTACAGGCAAAAATGTTGACCGCTAATTGACCAATTAGATGCGAGTATTTAAACTAAGGTACTAACAATAGAACCTGTATATCTGAACACCTGGCTAATCCGAACACCTCCAAATCAGAATACTTTTTTTTCGGTCCCATTTTTTCCTCCCATTGACTCCCATGTTAAAAAAACTTAAAATGTGAACACCTCTCAATATGAACAGTGAACAGTCATATTTGAAAAATTAACCTGTCTAATCTGAACACTTTTCATAAAATTTCACATGTTTCATACAAATTGCTCAGATATTGTAATGATATCAAAACTTTGGGAAAAGACTTGAATGGTCTTGATTATAATAGGGCTAGTAGATGACTAGATTCATTCATTTCACATTTCTGAAATGCCACAAAGCTATGTTGTCAAAAGAACTATAAATATTAACTAAGAATGTGTTCACATTTCTTTAGAATCTGGAATCTCGCAAATGCAAAACCTTCGAAATGTAAACACCTCCTTATCTGAACGCTTTAAGCCGGTCTCAATGGCATTCAGATTAGACAGGTTTTACTGTACTATATTTTAAATTTCCTCTTCTGAATATATATGCCTCTCTTGTGTTACCAATTGTATTTACTGGCTAACATGTGTGTTTTAGATAATCTATGTTGCGCCAATGAAAGCACTGGCTGCTGAAATGGTGCGTAATTTTGGCAAGAGGCTTGAGCCACTCGGCATAGCAGTAAGAGAGCTCACTGGGGATATGCAGCTGACCAAGACAGAAATCATGAAAACACAGGTATGAACATGGTTGCAAAGGATTTCAGTACATTTTATATAGATTCCGTATATGTGATCTGTTTGTATATACCAGTACATATACATGTAGTTCAGAGTTCAATTTCAAACTGCCCAATTTCAGATTGCTTGACATTGGTGTTCTCTGAACATGATATGACCCACAATGTACATTATTACTGTGATGTTCAGCTTTCATATTTCAATATTATTCAATTTGGCCTAAATTCAACTGCAATAAATACAATTGTCATTATTTGTACCCCAGTAGAAATACTCAGTTCAGATTGGCCAAAGAATATTCGATAGTTTCGAATACTGAATATGCAATGCATTACTGATTAACAGTGGTATGAAGAGACCATTGTATTATGATGTCATAATAATGAGCAAAGGGAAACATTGACAGAATATGTTGAATATGAGTATTGATTTATTTATTAGCACGTCTTTGGCCTTACTTTGTATTTTCGAAGGACTAACTGCAATTTCTGAACTTAATAAAGTCTGGATACAAGCCCTTATCCTCAGGATAGGTCAGTAATTGTATATTTTTTCATTCAGATGTTGGTGACAACCCCTGAGAAGTGGGATGTGGTGACACGTAAGAGCACAGGGGATGTGGCGTTGTCTCAATTGGTGAAGCTACTGATCATTGATGAGGTCCACTTGTTGCATGATGACAGGGGAGCTGTGCTTGAGAGCCTTGTAGCCAGAACTTTAAGACAGGTACTTACATAACCTTTGCAAACAAACAGCTTATGGCTGCTTATGTATTAGAAGGGAGATGACACAGGACTGAAAGAATATTTTAATTGTCATATTCACTTGTAACTGTCATAGTCACTTGTAATAAAGAAAACTATACATGACTTTAAATTTTCAAATGAAAGAAAAAATATATCTGTAATGTTTGAATATGAAAAATTAGAAACATTGTTGACTGAGAAAATGTATTAAAAGTTTTTTTTGAAATATTGCATTTTGAATTATTGATTTGTATGTGAATGAAGGATAGAAATAAATTTAGGTGAAAAAATTGTCATTTTCATAAAAGAAGTGACTGATATATGATGTATTGTTATACATGTAGTTACCATTTTTGTGACTGGTGTTCGCTATCCAACCATCAGCATCTGTCACAAAGTGTTACACTTTTGTTATCATTTGAAATAAAGTACTAGATGGTGACATTTTGCCATGTTCAGCCTCATTTTATTCTAACAAATAATTTAATTTTTTCCAATTTTTACATTTTTTGTCATATTTTATGAACAACGGTTTATGTTATCTTATATTATGTAACATATTTATTTTATATATTTTTGGTAACTAGGTAGAGTCCAGTCAGAAAATGATCAGGATCATTGGTCTATCCGCCACTCTCCCAAACTACCTAGATGTGGCGAGATTCCTAAATGTCAATCCTTTCCTTGGATTATTCTTCTTTGATGGCAGGTTCCGCCCTGTACCTCTAGGCCAGACCTTCATTGGTATGTATTGTATTTTTTTTTTGGGGGGGGGGGTATTATCCCATATTTTGCAGTCATGATTACATGTATGTGTGATATTAGGGAAGCAGACACCTTGGAGAAACACTATATATGATTATGTATATAAGATATACACTTACACGCAGCAGCTTTTCGTATGAGATTTGTTGCCTCAACTGAGGATCAAATAAATAGATGTTACGGGAAGTAATTTGGTTTTTGAGACAATATGATATTGACCAATGAAAATATCAAATTGACTGATTAACTGAAAATGCTGCTAAAATGACTATACTCCATATATTAAGAATTATCCTCCTCCCTCCTAGAGTAGCCCAGATGTAAATTCGTCATTTTCTTAGGTCAATGCAATATTGTTCTGAGGATAAAATTCATATTCCATCAACTGATCAATAACCTATTTTTCATAAATTTCATTTTTTGTCAGTTTTCAGCAATTTTTCCAACTTCCTGTTGAGTTAAGATTTTCTTCAATCCTTTCATGGCAAAACAATATTAAACCGTGTCACAAACTCTGGTGACTTCTATGAATAAGTCAAAATCTAAACTAATATAAGTCGCTCAAGAATTAAGTATGTAAACTGACAAAATAAAATTTACGGATTCTGATACAGGATTAAATACAAGAAGATGTCACATACAAGGTTCAATTGAAGGATTTGGATAAATACAGGATTGAATACTGTAGTCTACTGGCTTTTCAAATATCTATTTAATTTTGATAGTATTAATCATGAAGAGAGAAAAGTGGCATTCATGAATAAATACAAGTGTGATCTGTCCACTATTGTTCATGAGCATTCTTGGTCAGAATATACAGGGTGTCAAAAAACAACCCCCCTCTACAGCAAAAAGTACTTAGTGTTACATAGTGTGTCATATCTCCTTTTAAAGACAATTTAATTCTGGAGTTACCTGAGAAATTTCAGCTTTATATCATATAATTTTACAGATTTACAGCTGATTCTTAGTAGTTGGTATGACCACCAGTTGCTGCTCAAACAGCAGCTTATCTGGACGGAAATGATTTCAACAAAAATTCAGGTAAAGGTGTAGCATTGCATAATCCTCCAAGCACTTTCCTCAAATTCTTCAGAAATACATCCTCACTGTATCTTATTTCAAGAGGCTCTTTGTCCATCAGTTCCTATGCCCTGTTTTTCAGAACTGAACCCATATGTTCAGTGCAGTTGAAATATGGGCTAATTCTTTCATATTCCACTTTCTGAAGATTTGACCTTTAACCAGTAACAGAGCAGCAAACAAGGTACCGAAGTAGCAAACTTAAAAACAATGTAGCTTTTTTAATATAAAGTTTTATTGAATGAAATTTGAGGAGTAACTCCAGAATTAAATTATCTTTCAAATGAGGTATGACACGATATGGAACATTTAGGACTTTTTGCTGTAGAGGGGGGTGCCATTGTTTTTTGACACCCTGTACATGTATGATATAAAATTGGAATAGAGAAATCACTTGAGAAAACATACTGGAGAGAACAGCAGATCAAATATGAAAAATTTCTATGCCACTTTGAAACATTTCTTGTTCTTATGGAGTAACCATTACCTTACATTTTTCATGTGTATTCTATATTTTATTTTCTATATCAAAACACATTTCACAAAACACAAAAAAAACATTTCAAGTTTCAAAGATGATTCTTCCTGGTAATAGGCATTCAAAACATTAAAGAATATTACCAAATATTAGTCTTCCTGTACATAAGGGTTGGGGAATCCAGAAACTTGATGCAAGAGTAAAAGATCAGGTACATTCATATTCCTCAAACCTAAGGTAGAAATGTGCATCATAATGATGATTGACCTTTAATGACCTTTGAAGGTCGTATAATGAATACACATGTACTTTGATTTTCCCAAATAGTTCATAGTCTAATTTCAGGCATTATCAATGTCTAGTTCTTCTATGTGGAATATTTATGTTGCACGAAGGTAAGCTCCTCATACTAACATCCCAGAAACCATGTTTATATTTGATATCATCAAAACAGTGTGTCTTTTCAGTAGGAACAAACATCGCGACTCCGAGACCTTTGATAACAGCATCACCCCATCTATGATAATAAATTCCTCCTGATTTATCCACGTGATCAAAATACCTGACGTAATTATCATTTTTCCATATATCAACTCGAGAGATTTCAAAATTGTTGTAAAACATATTTCTCTTTTTCCATTTGTAAAAGCTTTGTGGTGTCTGTATTTTACTACTATGAAGGTAATCTTCAGTCAGCTCCCACAGTCCAGTCACGCATTGCTGCGGTTCGTGCGTAATAAGAATGTAACCATACCACAGGTTTTTGATTTTCATGAAAGAAAACACGTCATAATTTATCGGCCTGAGGATCTGTGAATCATCATCCAATCTCCAGTAGAATTCTAAATCATTAAATACAGGTTGGTCGTAAACGGTTCCTGCATGGAAACGACACATGTGACGATAACCAACTCCATGTTTAGAACATGCGGTCCGGTTAGGTGGCGTTTCAGTTAGAAACTGTGGCACATTGAAAACGACCAACTGGAAATAAACATCAGAACTAGTTTCTCTTCTAAGATCATTCATTTGCTGAAACGTTACACCAGTCTCGTGAAATACAACTACAGGATATCTATAAACTCCGTTAAAATTAGCATCCAGTAATTTTAAAGATTTACCAAATTTAGCCCAACTATTAGGATTCCCCTGAACTAGAAAGTAAATTACAGCTTTTGGTTTATTGGGCCATTTCGCCAACGTTTCTTTGAAGCGGGAAAGTTCAGAGGAAGAAAATAAGACAGCTGGCGTTTCCTTGAAAAGTCTCCTCCCAATATTTGAAATGACTAATGTGATAAATGCAAGGCCTAGCATTATAATGAGAATAAGTCGGAGTTGGGTGCGGCTTGGACTTCTCATCAAAGCCATTTTATTCATTATGATGTCTCACAGTTGTTCTTTTCATTTGTTTATTCAACTACCGTATCTGTACTCATCCCAACTTATACATTCATATTTTTGATCCCATTTTTTTTATTCTATGTTTATTATCCTGTTTTTATGCTGGAGCCTTTTTTATCCTTTCTCAATTTGTTTCGATGCTATAATTTTTATCCTAACTTGTACTTAAATTAATGTGTATGTTCTTTAATCTTCTATGTTTACATGGTAATGTGTAATTGAAATATTCTGTCCCAATACGTGTACAAGTATACCAGTACATGTGAAATATGGAATACAGGGTTTCAGTGCAATCTACAGTGTAGTGCACAGTTTCAATAAATATCACATTTGTATACATGAGCCATATACATAATTTACTGTTTTTGTGGCATTGTGCACTTGACTGAAAAGCTCAGCATGTACTTATATGTATATTTATGTGGATTCCCTTGAATTTAATATCTTTATGTAGAATTGCAATATTTGATCAATATAGTGGTATCTGCAAGATAAAGAATGAATGAATGAACATGTACTAAATATAATAAATAGTAGTATGGAAAGCCTGGAAATAATTGAAATCAAGCAGATGTTTTAGAGGAACTGGGGAGAATAAAACATGATTAGACTAAATTTTAAGCACAGGCAGATAATCACTGGTGCGGGTAAATATTGATGTTTTTCCAGCAGTTCAAACCACATTGATAAATAAAGATATAATACTATTCATTGCTATATGGAGTCAGTCATTGTGACCATGCAATCAATGGTAAACAGAGCGTCATATTTCAAAATGAATGGCTTCATGAAGATATCATCATCAACAAAGACATCATAAATAGCCAAATTAAGATACTAAATATCATTGGCGTAGCCAGGATTTGGTGACCAGGGGTTCTATTTTTATTCCCCCCCCTTTATTCGGGTCCCTTATGTAAAAGCTACACTCAAGCAATTTGTACACTCCCTCCAAAAGTTTGGCAACCCTATAGTAACTCCCCCATTGTATAACATGTTAAAGCCTCTATATGTTTGATTTGTGATTTGCATAATCAGTGGAGAAAAAAACTATTTTTAGGAGTGGAAATATAATTTGACATAATTTCCGAAACCTCCAATTTTCTTTCGAAAATACATGTTAAGAAGAAATTTGAATTATATTTACGTTCAACAAAGTTGATTTTTACAAGAAACTTCTCCAATTGAAACAACAAAGGATACGAAAATAATTTTCAAAAATGACTTTGAAGCTTCGTTTTAAATTTCAATGTTCTAAAGGGAAACTAAATACCCAGCGAGCAAAAAATAGACAATTTTATGGTGAATCTTTTACTTAATAGATATCCTGAAATCTGATTTGCCCTGAACCCACCATTTCCAGGTGAATGACGATTTTCAAATATTCATCAGTTATCAATTTTCGACCTATCATATTTGAGGGAAAATTTGGAAGTATGGGGATTAAAGTCATATAACATCTCTACCTTTATCATATTAAGTACTTTCGTTGCAGGTTTTAAAAAATTCAAACATAACGAGACTTTAAAACGTAGTCCAATTGGCAGCTAATACGTGGTTGGATCGTCTATTTTTGGAAGACCCTGGAGCATGATTTTTTACTATAAGAAATATCAATTATTTCGCACAATTTATTTTTAGCTCACCCGAAAAATGCTTAGCTTCATCTGGGACAAATCTTTGTGTTTATAAATGATACAGGGTGGGCAATAAAAAAGAGATACTTTGTATCATTTTTAGAGGTATTTATGATCACACAGATAACCATGTATTACATACCAAAAGATGGGGAATTCATTCAGCTTTAATAAGATTCTTGAAGAAAATGTCTAATATGTCTCCCTCTATCTTAGCTTTAAATGTCAGAAAATTCATTACTGTACATTATATATGCCTTAACCTTTGCAACCATTCATGAGTCCTTCTAGCCTCAGTTTGTTTCAATATCCATTGCGTAATCAACCTATCATCATACCATAGTTCCATTGTGCATAGAAACCTTGATTTCAGTTTTTTTGGAACAATTCCTACAGGAGGACCAAATAAACGTTATAGTTTCTATAATAAAAAGTCACAATGTTGTCACAGTTTTATTCTTAACATAAAGGGGGTTGGCTATAAATAACAATGATATTTTGGAAATAAATAAGTAAAATTATGGAAAATAAGGACAAAAAAGTAGTTTGCCTAAAATTATTGAAATTTTGAGAAATTTCAAAAGCTGTTTTTCGAGGTAATGCATCATGCGGCGGGTGGGCGGCGTCTCACTTTTCAGCTTGTCTACAGGTTTCCAGCCAAACCATTTGAGGGATTCATCTGAAATTTTCAGGGATGTTTCTACATATCAACGTCAAGAACTGATTAGTTTTTGGGCATTCTGGGTAAATTTTAAGGTGGCCATTTTGGATTTTCCGTCCTAAAATCTTCACTTTCAAGACTTGTCTACAGGTTTTCAGCCAAACCATTTGAGGGATTCATCTGAAATTTTCAGGGATGTTTCTACATATCAACGTCAAGAATTGATTAGTTTTTGGGCATTCTGGGTAAATTTTAAGGTGGCCATTTTGGATTTTCCGTCCTAAAATCTTTACTTTCAAGACTTGTCTACAGGTTTTCAGCCAAACCATTTGAGGGATTCATCTGAAATTTTCAGGGATGTTTCTACATATCAACGTCAAGAACTGATTAGTTTTTGGACATTCTGGGTAAATTTAAAGGTGGCCATTTTGGATTTTCTGTCCTAAAATCTTTACTTTCAAGACTTGTCTACAGGTTTCCAGCCAAACCTTTTGAGGGATTCATCTGAAATTTTCAGGGATGTTCCTACATATCAACATCAAGAACTGATTAGTTTTTGGGCATTCTGGTTAAATTTTAAGGTGGCCATTTTGGATTTTCCGTCCTAAAATCTTCACTTTCAAGACTTGTCTACAGATTTTCAGCCAAACCATTTGAGGGATTCATCTGAAATTTCCAGGGATGTTTCTACATATCAACGTCAAGAACTGATTGGTTTTTGGGCATTCTGGGTAAATTTTAAGGTGGCCATTTTGGATTTTCCGTCCTAAAATCTTCACTTTCAAGACTTGTCTACAGGTTTCCAGCCAAACCGTTCAAATTTTTACATATGTTACACCGTGATAAGTTCTAGAGCTGATTAACTTTTCTGCGGCCATCTTGCTTTCTTGGTCAACAAGACCACAATGCTGTGTTTTAGGTACGATATTGTTCACGTCTGTGCCTTGTTATTTATTCTGATTCAATTTTTATTAATAAGTTTATTGGTCTCTTGAACATGTAATGTACATCGAGATGTAAGTCCAATAAAGCAAATAACAAATAAAACATTCATGTACATGCATGGCAAAACAATACTTACAATCTAATTTTTAACAATCACTAAGTACTATACTTAATAGCATAAAATGATTTCACGTCAATTTTTTTTAACAACTCTTTGGTAATATTATGAACTCTTGTAAAATAATCACCAATTATTTCATTAATTGCATCATCGTGCGCTAACAAGGACTATAAAAATGGACTACTTGTATTAAAATGAGAAAAACTATTGTTTATACTTTTTATTTTACTGATATATAAAGATCGAGCTAGTTTTAGTTCTGATTGAGAACAACAAAAAAGAATGTGTTCTTCATCACTTATTGTATTTTTTGAATTACAGAAGAAACAAAATCGATTCGATTTTCTACTTTGAAGTATTAACCTCATTCAATTGGGAAGTTATGCATCGATAACCGTACCTATGAAATATATTGTCTATAGGTAGAGTTCTGTAAATTAAGATAACTTTCTCTTTTATATGCATGTTTTACTAGTTTATAGCTTCTGAATTTACCCGGAGCATCATTTGGTCTATTGATGTCTTGCATAAACATACTTTTGTATTCTTTTCTAAATTTGTCATTGTAGATTTAATCAAATTATCAATTTTGACTTTATCACATGTATCGATTTTTTGTATATCAATATTTTTATTGGATATTGACAAAATCCGAGTGATAAATGAAAAGAAGCTCCAATGTCCTGATTCATGTGAGTCTTCCTCATGTTTACTAAAAATGAATGAATATGAATCAGTTGGTGACTTTTTCAAGTGAAACCAAAATTCTAGAGTACTAACTAATATATAAATGAGCAGCGGGTATCTGCCCAGTTCAGCCTTGGCTGATACGTTACTGCAGTTATAATTGACGCGTAATACCTGTTTGCAATATCTATTGTGTAACTTCTCAAACGGAAATTAATTTTCAATACTTACTTAAAAGCTCTGGGGACTTCTCAAGAAATGTTTCTTTAAAATTACAGGGTGGCACAAAATGCCACACACTAATTTTGGAATAACTTTCTCAATAATTAAGGAATCTTCACGATTTTTTATGTGTAAATAAAGTGTTCAATGGAAAAAAGATTGATATACTTGCATAGCATCGATAACTTGGAAATTAAGAGATATCTCATTTTCCGCGGACCCATGCTCTGGCACAAAATCAATCAATAATGTAAATTAGAAAACCTGTCTTTCTTCAAAGGATAGGTATCGATATGGTGAACTAAATTCAACAATGTTTTTAAACCAATTATTGAAAACATTCTGTAAAAAAACAGGATCCTTTACGTAATGTTGACTGATTGGCAACAATTTAATGGAAATATTATTAATATATATTTTATATTAACTGTTTTTGTTAACATTTTTTGTTTTTTAGTGCAATTGTTTTTTGTTCCTTTCTACCAATTCTTGAGAATGAAATAAAATGTCTTTCCGAACCTTGTTGGAACAAAATAGCATATACATCATTTTCTTAGACCTCTCAATATTATACAGTAAAACCTGTCTAATCCGAACACCTACGGGACCAGCCAAAAGCGTTCAAATTGGCAGGTGTTCACATTTCGAGGATTTTGTTGGTCGGGGGGGGGGGGGGGGGGGGAGGGGGGGATTTTCATTGTTCAGTCCACTATATTGAACACTTAATACTAAGTCAGAGAGCAATAAATGTTGTTGATGAGTTAATTCTACAATAGTCATATAGCCTATATGCTATGTTTTATTTATATTTTGAACAATATCATTGTTTTAGTAAAAATAACTCTTATATTTTGGCAAAAACTTTGTAATACACTGTAAAAGTATATGATAGTCGTGTATGAAATCTTATGCTTATCAAATGACTTATCCCATATTATGGTAATATAGCACTGCTTTACTTTTACTTGAAAA